GCAAAACATCCTATTATCGATCTAATAGTTAGAGACGTGCACCATCGAGTTAAGCATAACGGTATTAGGGACACATTGACGACTACTCGAGAACGATTCTGGATCTTACGTGGTAGAGAGGTGGTCAAGCGAATTCTCAAGAAATGTGTCGTATGTCGAAAGGCTGAAGGTACCCCGTATGGAGTTCCACCTCCTCCCCATCTTCCACCGTGTCGAGTTGCAGACGATCCACCGTTCACTAACGTAGGACTTGACTTCGCAGGACCGTTACTTGTTCGACCAGATAAGGAAGCTCAGTCATCAATCGAATCCCTTTTGAAGGTTTATGTACTGTTATTTACTTGCGCCTCTACAAGGGGTGTACATTTAGAACTTACACCATCCCTGAGTGTCTCATCATTTCTACAAGCTTTCCGCAGGTTCGCCAGTCGAAGAGGTCTACCGTCGTTGCTGGTATCCGATAACGCCAAAACTTACAAATCAGCGTCCAAGGAAATCCGAAATTTAAGTCGAGCAGAGGAAGTTTGGCGCTACCTATCTAATAATCGTATAACGTGGCAATTCATTGTTGAGAAAGCCCCTTGGTGGGGCGGTTTCTGGGAACGTTTAGTTCGAAGCATAAAGAGGCCCTTAAAGAAGGTAATAGGAAGAGCAAGTCTAACGTATGAAGAGCTGAGTACGCTTGTGGTGGAGATCGAAGGGCTGATCAACTCGCGACCACTAACTTATGTTTTCGACGACGACGAAACCTGCACGTCACCCTTGTGTCCTTCACACCTGATATATGGACGTCGTATCACCACTATGCCGAATAGCCAACACTATGAAGTTATTAGCACGTATCAATCGTTAACGAAAAGAGCACGACACCACCGAAACCTAATTCAGCAATTTACGAAGCAGTGGAGAACTGAATATTTGTTGGGACTTCGTGAACAATCTAGAGTTATGGCAAGAAATAACAAGACGGGTAATATTTCAATCGGTGACATTGTTATTTTAAGGAACGATAAAACGAGTCGCTGTTTTTGGAAGCTAGCCAAGGTTGAGCAACTTTTACATGGAGAAGATAACCTTGTTCGAGCAGCTGTTGTTAAAGTGTTAGGTGGCAAGAGTAACAAAGCGCAACTTCTCCGAAGATCGATTAGTCACCTGATTCCAATCGAAGTGAAGCAACCGCTTAGCGAGGTCAAGAATAAATCGGAAGCAACAATTAGCGAACCGCCTGTATCGTTAAATACTCGTCCACGTCGTATGGCGGCGGTCATCGGAGAGCTTAAAAGAGCCGAACAACTGAAGCATATCTAAAAAACTTAAGAAAACTTAACGTAATTACAGTAATGTATATATTCATATTTTATCGATTATTGTCAACATTGGGGAGTATTGTTGATCACTTGTACAGTGACTCAACGTTGGGGAGTGTTATAAAGATTCATTGTTATTATTCATTGTTATTATAAGGATTACGCAACTTTGGAACGCACGTGAACAATTTGATCACTGTGACGTATCACGTGAACATTTTTTGCCAGTAATTTATTAGTGTATTGTTTTTCGTATTTTGTGTACAATAAAATGTTTTGTGTGTATATTATCGAAGAAAAGGTCAAATTTATCGTAGAATTACTATTCATAACAGGTGTATTTCAACTTAAAAAGATACAATATGTATACTAACTTTTTTGAACGGATCCAGAACAGCCAAGCTATGATAAAGAGAACAACCAGAAGTACAGATAACACAGGCAAAATGTAACTTGAGAGACGTCCTTAGAAATAGAGAAATAATACTTCAAAGATGTTGCATATGTATCATACGTACATTACAGGCAAAATAAGAACTATATTCTCACATTTAGCTCAAGGTCTGAAACTAGCCACAGAATAAAAATCCATTTTTTACATCTAATCAATTAAGTGTTCTGTCGAAAACCTTTCTGAAACTATAGATGTTAAGTAATTTTGTTGAATGACAATGAAGTCCATGACAAATTTAGGAACAGAATCAAATACATTGAACGAGGTATTGAGGAATTTTAATCTGAAGATAGTTTCTATTTGTCAACAAGTCCTACTGTTTCAGTTTTACATCTGTGAACCTGTTTTTCACTTCACCAGTATCCTCCTGAAAATACCGTATTTCTTGGTTTTCTGATTGCAGGGTGGAAATAATGACAAACGAAAATTCTATATTATACTATACTATACTATAAGTGTAAAACAGGTTTAAGTTGAACGTGCTGATAAAGTCATAAGCTGCTTATTTATGTGCCACTAATGCACTGCAAAAAATTCTGAGTAGAATCTACTCAAAAAATTGAGTAAATGAATGCACCCACAGTGACACAAAATAGTGAGTAAAACTACTCATAAAATGTGAGTAATATTTACACAAATTTTTGAGTTAATTTACTCAAAAAACTGAGTTGAAATTACTCAAGTTATACACATTTACAGTTACTCACGGTAGGAGTAAACAATAAATTACTCAAACTTTGAGTAAACGTACTCAAAACGTGAGTAATTTTACTCGAAATTTGAGTATTTTTACTCAAAAAAAGAGTTCTAGTTACTCAAATAAAATGCACCCATAGTGACTCCTTATTTTGAGTAAATGTACAGTTTACTCAAACTTTGAGTAAATTTACTCAAACTTTGAGTATGTTTACTCAAAAAAAGAGTTCTAGTTACTCAGTAAAATGTACCCATAGTGACTCGTTATTTTGAGTAAATGTACAGTTTACTCAAACTCTGAGTATTTTTACTCAAAAAAGAGTTCTAGTTACTCAAATAAAATGCGCCCGAAATGACTCTCTATTTTGAGTAAATGTACAGTTTACTCAAACTTTCAGTACATCTACTAAAAAATGCTCCAGTTACTCTATGAACAAGTGGTGTGTCACTGTCAAACCATAACATTGAGTAACTAATTAAAGTAGCAGACAAAAGTACTCCACAGTGTGCCACAGTAAGGAACAAAAGTACTCCACAGTGTGTTACTTTGAGAAACAAAAATAATTATATATACTATTAATCGTCAATAGAATTATGCAAGCACAAACAATATTTTTTGAAGAATAAACGTTTATAATTATTAATACCCCCCACAACTCGACAAGTCCGACAAGATTCTTAAAATTATTACTCTAGTACACTGAACTATATGTATACATGGATGGAAGGTTATTACTTTAGTGACTTTAGCCAAAATGGCGGCTCGATCGCGAAGCCATTCTCTGACGTCAATTTTATAATAAGTTCCAACTTTACTGTAATAGTTTCAGTTGGCAGGTTTCAGTTCGTTTGAGCTGATAAACCTTCAATGTACAGTATATATAGTTCAGTTGTACTGTAATACATGCATCTACATACACCAATTGAAAAATGAAATATAAAGTCTTAAAAGATCAAAGAGGTAAGATAAAACAGTCGTAATATATCTATCTATATATATATATATATATATATATA